TTACTTACTTACTTACTTATAAATAATATATATATATAAATATATTGGTCCAGTTTATACTAGTATTTGCCTGGGAGAGTCCAAACTGATAAGTGAGCAGCTATGAAAGCTCTGTTTGTGTGAAAGGGCAGCCACAAGCAAAGCCTGTGTGTGCTTAGTTCAGGAACTTGTCAAGTAGGCAACAGCTTAAGAAAAGAGCAGTTGAAGCCCTATCTCCACGCTGTTGCTTTATTTCTAGGATGTAAAAACAGTAACCAGAAGGAAACCTTTGTTTAATTTGGGTAAGATTGTTTTACTCAAAGTAAGCACAAGAGCAGCCCTCCTGCAATTTGGACTCCTCTTCATGCCTGCGAGATTTATTAAAGATTGTAGGATTGCAGCTAAAGAATTTACCATAATGTCTCTTGATTGCACCATGACCTTAAGGTGATAAGAACTGGAGGCGGCCAATGCTCTTTAAACCTACACAGCCTGGAAGCTCTCCACCCCCACCTTAAAAAATATTTGGTTTTTTTAAATGCAAATTGACTTTACACATTGTCATGTTGGGGAAAATCTTTGCACAATTCACGAGGTCATTCATTAGCAGGGAACTCTGTGTGCCAAGCAAGATTAGCATTTCTCTGTTTGGGGTTTGTTTTGCAGACTCTGCAGATGGATGTCAACAAGCTGAATATCACATTGCTTCGGATTTTCCGCCAAGGAGTAGCTGCAGCTTTAGGACTGCTGCCGCAGCAAGTGCATATCAAGAGACTCATTGTAAGTGGCCAGTATTTCGTATAACTGTTTGCTTGTTGCACTGCTTTGCACTGAATTTTATTGCCAGGAAAACCTACCAGACCTGAAAACTGAAGAGATTCCCTGCAACTGCTGAGCACAAAGGTGACAAAGTATCAGAGCTTGGGAGAGTTACTTTCTGGCTAACAGTTCCCAGAATTCCCTAGCTAGGTTGGGGATTTAGCAGTTGTAGTCAAAAGAGAGGTGGGAAAGGCAACTTTCTGATTCATGGCCACCAAAGAGTTTTGACACAGCTATTTCTTAGTAAGGGTCCCAGAAATCCTTATTGTGAAATGAGGGTGGCCCATGAGTGGACTTCCAAATTTTGTTGGACTGCAGTTCCCAGCATGCCTCATTATTGGCTGTGGGGACCAAAATTGATGGGAGTTGCAGTCCAACAACTCTGGAGATTCATGTACTGCCCAGTCCTCTTGAAAGAATCCCAAACTTCATTGTTATTGACAGTTCCACCTTTTATATTCTCACATACAGATCTTAAGTCAAGGTTGTATTGGGATGGAAATATGAAAATAGAGCATTCATTTCTCCAAGATTTTCCTTGATCTCAGAACTTCATCACAAAAATTTACAGCTAAAGATTGTGTCATACATGCATTTCAATGGGAAATGGTGCCTCGATTTATGACCATAATCCATTCCAGAAGATGGACGTAACTCAAAATGGTTATAAGCCGAAGCACCATTTCCCATTGAAATGCATTGGAATGTGATTAATCCATTCCAGAAGAGAGAGAGAGAGAGAGAGAGAAAATTAAATTAAAATAAAATAAAACACTGCAGGCCCCATAGGATCGTGCTGGGGCTGCAAAAATAAGTAAATAAATAAATAAACAATGGAGCAAGGCCCGAAGGTGCTGGGGCTTAAAAAAAAAAAGCAATGGAGCAAGCCCCGAAGGTGCTGGGGCTTTAAAAAAAAGCAACGGAGCAAGCCCCGTCCAAAGGCCCTGGGGCTGCAAAAATAAAAATAAAAAATAAACAGAGCAAGCCCTGAAGGCACTGGGGCTTAAAAACAAAACAAAACAATAATTACAGCACAGAAACATAACCCCCCCAATAAAACAAAACAACAATTACAGCACAGAAACATAACCCCCCAAGCCCAAACCCACCTTGCAAAACCCTCCCAGAACAGTTTTCAGTTTTGAGAGACTGTTCTAGTTGCTGGAGGTACAGGATAAAGAAAATGGAAGGATAAAAAGCACTCCAAATCAGACAAGAAAGCTATCAAAGGCTCAAATCAAGTCAACTGAAGTGCCATCTGCTCCTTTATTTCCCTCAGAAGTTGAGGACCTAAATCTACATACAGTAACTGTGGATCTCCTGCCTTCCAATTTACCTAACTTGGAACTTATATCCAACTCCTCTTCTTCTGCCATAAGCCTGGAGGCAGATGAGACCCATATCAAAGGCAAACTAAATCAGCAACCAAACACTGTTGTCAACTCTACCCTCACTTCCTCCAGTACACAAGGATCCAAACCCAGTGGCTGCAATTGTGGACTTGTTGTCTCTCAAATCATCCAGTTCGGCACTTTTACCTAGCACTTCATTTCTGGCCATTAATATACAATCAAATAAGACCCCTGCTGAAGGTAAACTTGTTCTAATATACAATCAGATAAGACCCCTGCTGAAGGTAAACTTGTTCAGTCACCAAAAATACTAATGGTGCTTTCAATAAATCAGTGTTTCTCAACTTTCCTAAGCCTAATGGAAAACTAACTCAGCTAGGAAAGAAATGTCAGCTCTTACAAATTCTTGAAGAGGCAGGAGTGTCCCACCTGCCAATCAAAGGCATAGAGAATGTTGAATATCTTTGCTTTATTAACCCAACCTATGGGATAAAAGCAACTTTCACAGACCCGACTTCTGTGTATCCTATACTTACACAAAGGCAAGCTTTTACTAGTTTAGGGGTTCAGGTGAAGAAACACTTTGTTAATACCATAATACAACCACTGATCAAGGACTGGTTTGCTAGGGATAGACAAATTATAGAACAGTATAAATCTTTACCAATTTATAATTTAATACATTTAGACCCTAGTGATGTAAGGGGATCACTACACACAAAGGACCAGCTAATGACACCCATCAATCACAGTGACAGATAATTTCTCCTCCTTATCACAACAATACACCCACAACAAGACACACTGATCACCTATCTCCTGAAAAGGACAAAAACCTATGTCACAGCTATAAATACTCAACTTCCAAGCAAACTACATCAGAGCACAGAATGCTGTCCTCTGAAGATGCTGGCCACAGAGACTGGTGAAATGTTAGGAAGAACAACCTTCAGAACACGGTCAAAGAGCCCGAAAATCCCACAATAATCCAAACAAAATCTTCAGACTTCTGAACACAACACAAGCCTCTTGTATACAAATTCTATCAGAGGCTGCTATTAACAAACCCAAGGATCTGCCAAGCACCACCGCCTCCAGCCAGATCATTATGTTTAACTGATTTGGTTAAAGCCCCCTTTATAGAAGATAATAATATAACTCAAATAGGTTATTTTCAAAATAAAACACAAAAAGTTACAGTGGAAATTAGCATAAATCCTCAGCGGACAGTTAAGACAATGCCACAGCTATATCTCAAACTGAGGCTCATGCTGCACAAAATTGTATAACTGATGATAAGCTTTTAGGCGTAGACATCATATATGAAGAACAGCTACCTTCACATACCTGCACCATCTAATGCAAAAATACTCTCAATTAGGTAAGAAGGAGCTGTATGTCCCTTTTGTGGATTTCAGTTCAGCCTTTGACCTCGTAGATAGAGCCCATCTGTGGCAAAAACTTTCTACCACCAACATAAACAATCCTCCTGTTGTTTTTAATTCAGATGCTTCACTCTAAAACCACCTTCAGGGTAAGGCTTGGGGCAAATGGACTGTTGTCTGAGTCAATTCCAACACAAAGAGATGAATACCTGAAGGACCGCCTCCTTCCATATGAGCCTACCCGGCAGTTAAGATCTTTCCTTTTGAAAGAGCCATCCCTTAAGGAGGTAAGAGGGATGGCTTGTAGAGAAAGGGCCTTTTCGGCAGCTGCCCCCAGACTATGGAATGCTCTGCTGATTGAGCTTCGTCTGGCACCGATGCTGATGACATTTCAGCGCCAGGTCAAAACCTTCCTGTTCCAGGAGGCTTTTAATTGAAATAATATCAACTGTGGGTCCTGATGGCAATTTTTAGATTGTCTTTTAATTGTGTTTTAATAATTTTATCTTTAATTGTATTTTAATTGTTTTCAATTGTGAGCCGCCCAGAGACCTTTGGGTAGAGTGGGTTGCATATAAGTTGAATGAATGAATGAATGAATGAATGAATGAATGAATGAATGAATGAATGAATGAATGAATGAATGAATAAATAAATAAATAAATAAATAAATAAATAAATAAATAGATAGATAACTAGATAAATAAATAAATAAATAAAAGAGCAGTCTGTCAGGGATGCCTGTTGGCTCCTTTCCTCTTCAATTTCTATATTAACAACATACTCCAAGAATTGAGTGACTTCGAATTTTTCCCACCCACAATTAGGGATGTCAGGCTCTCAGTTCTTCTATATGCAGATGATATTGCAATGGTCTCCACAACATTAGTTAGTACGCAAAGACTTTTGACCAATTTGTGCAAATTCTGTGCAAGAGAAGACCTGACCATCAATTACACCAAAACTAAAGTTGTAGTTTTTGGAAAGAAGAGGAAATCCCATACATGGAAGCTTGATGGCAAACTCATTGAGCAGCTATGCAATTTTATATATCTTGGCCTTTGTTTCAATGCCCAACTTTCATGGAAATATCAGCTGAAAGCAATTAATCTGAAAACATCCTATCAGTCTCTTTCATGGTTTACCTCAACCAATGGCAGGAAGTTGGTGGCCACTGCAGTTGAGGTGTTTGCCAAGAAAATAGTACCCCACATAACATATGCGGCAGAGATATGGGGATATATAAAGACTCACACTGAAGAAGTGATCCAAAATTATTTTATTCAGTCTCTTCTAACTGTCCCTCACAACATACCCTCTGCATATCTAAGGGCTGAAGTAGGATTGATTCCAATTGAAATACACTCTCATATTGCGCTGGCCATGTACTGGCTGAAATTAACCAATATGAATGATTCTTGCCTTCCTAAGAAGTGCTACACAGAACAGCTTCAGAATCCATCTCAAAAATCCTGGGTGAATTTAGTTAGACCCATTTTGCAGAACTATGGGATTGACACAGACTCCCTTCCTACCTTTGTTTCAAATAGAGCTAAGCAATTGGTTAAAGAAAAAAAAATGTCTTTACGTGGCAGGATCTCTGTGCCATCTCAGAAACGTTCTATAACTGTTGGTTCCCTTTGTATGAAACATTATTCTGTTTGGAGGACTTCTTTGGTAATTTAACCCCAGTCCCTCTAAGAAAAGTGTTTACAGTTCTGCGTTTTCAGTGTATGCTGACTGCAATATTAGTAGGAAGATATGAAAATGTTCCTTTTGATCAAAGACTTTGTACATGTAGATCAAGAGACGTTGAAGATGTTTCTCATTATTTGTTAAGATGTCCTTTATATCAGTGGTCCCCAACCTTGGGCCTCCAGATGTTCTTGGACTACAACTCCCAGAAGCCTTCACCACCACCTTTGCTGACCAGGATTTTTGGGAGTTGAAGTCCAAGAACATCTGGAGGCCCAAGGTTGGGGACCACTGCTTTATATGATCACCCCAGGAGCAAATTCCTTGCAGGCATACTTAGAACTTTGTGTGACAGCCCTCCCTTGGCTCAATTCTGCATGCTGCTTGTGGACAGGGATGTATTTACTACCCACCAAGTAGCTAAATTTGACCTGGCAGCAAAGAAGATTCGTGCCAAGCATCCAAAATCCTAAATCTTTCTTTTTAAATGTAATTGTGATATGACAGTGCCACGTATGTTTGATGCTGTCATTGATATATTGCGATGACCTATGGTTTTAAGCAATCAACCAATAAAGAAATGTGTTAGCAGCAAGAGAAGTGATATCACACCTCACATGTCATCCTCTATATTGCTTTGCACAAAAAAGTCATGTCAGAAGCAATATAGTATTGCTTACTATGGTACATAAGGATAGATACTGATGGGTGAATCATTCTTAATCCCAGTGCAAAACAATGGGACAAACTTGTCCCATAGATTCCAAGCAGTACATAGTCTGATGCATCCCAGAGTAATTAAAGTGTGTTCTTGATCAGTGGTTCTTAACCTTTGTTACTCGGATGTTTTTGAACTGCAACTCCCAGAAACCCCAGCCAGCACAGTTGGTGGTGAAGGCTTCTGGGAGTTGCAGTCCAAAACTCCTGAGTAACCCAAGGTTAAGAACCAGTGTTCTTCATAATGCTGCGATATGAATACTTAACTAAGAATGCAGATTTCCTGCGTGGCCTGAAGAGCAGCAACATAGCTCTTTGTCAGGGATGGGAATCTTTGGGCCTCCATGGTTTCTGGACCTCACTTTCCAGAAACTGTAATTGAAATGGTGAATATTAAGGGATTGTGGGAACTGTAGTCCAAATGCCTGAAGGCCCAATTATTCCCCATCACGGGACCTTTACTGTAGTCAGAGATTGGATCATTTGCTTAAGGGGAACATGACACACTGGAAAACTATAAATAAATAGATAGATAGATAGATAGATAGATAGATAGATAGATAGATAGATAGATAGATAGATAGATAGATTGATTGATTGATTGATTGATTGATTGATTCAGCATGCTTGCTATCACTAAAAGAGGTAAGGAACCAAATATGATCTGTGGATTTAGAAGTCACTGTATTTCGCCCCTGGAGTCCCCCTATTCTACAGCAATGGAATATACCTCATTCCCAAACATTTGCCTCATCATAACTGATTAAAACTGATTATATGACCTCTAAAGCCCCTTACAGTTCAGGTCCAGGCTATCTGAAATACTGCACCTCTCTCTATGAGCCCCCATGAATATTAAGACCCTCAGGGGAGTGCCTTCTCTCATTCCCATGACTTCCACGAGCATATCTGGTGAGGACTTGAGAGAGGCCTTTCTTTTTCGTGACTGCTTGGAATCTATTTTTTGCAACTGCTCCCAGGTAATGGAACTCCATTCCTTGAGAGTTATCATTGGCTCCTTCCCTCCTTTCCTTGTTCCCTCAACTGAAAACCTGCCCCTTTGGAGAGGCTTCTGAGAAGTCAATTAAGATGGGGAGGCACAGACTCCATATGCAATTACAAGCCTAGAATAATGTTATGGTTTGAAGATTGTGTGAGCCTGCTCTCAACTGGAGTGGATGTTGACTTCCAGAATTTCTATGAATCTGGTAAAAGAATGGCTAGAATGAGCATTGGTATTTATAGATTTAGCAGGGATGAGATTCCTAGACCAATCTCTCTGATCTTTGCTGAACCTCTGGGTAACTCCAGGAGAGGCATGGGGATTTCATGGCCCTTGAGATGTTGTTAGTCATCAACTCCCATGAGACCTTGCTGGCAGAAAGCAGTGTGGACTGATAGCTGTGGCCCAGGAATTTCTGAAGTGTCGTATTTTATTTTCAGAATATCAGCTACGGGTGAGATCATCCACCTTTGCCCCCTTAGCACTTATTTATGAGTACAGCTAGTTTTGAGACCAAAGCATCTAGGTTTGATAGGAGTGAGGTTGTTTCTTTAAGGCTAAGTGCTATACTCCTGTTTTATTCTCTTTGATTTTTTGCTAGGTCCAGAAGAACTGTGTTGAGCTCTTTGTATCTCCCATAAATGGAAAAGGGATTTCTGATACACTCCCATCAGAAGATGTTCTGAGATCTCTTAATATCAATGTTCTACAGCAGAGTTTATCGCAGTTTGGAATTACAGAAGTGTCCCCAGAGGTAAACAACCAGCAGGATAATATGCTGCCTTCTAGCTAAGAATACTGTATGTGTCTCATTGGTGCTATGTTCCAAGGTTATTTTCATTTTAGAATAACACAGCGATGGGACTGCAGTGCACAATAAATAAAATATGCTAGAATAAAATTCATGAAAAATTTTGTTCTGTATTTTGAGGGGGTGGGGGGAAGGGAGAATGCTGAGATGGTGGTTAAAAGCATTAAAACAGGTTTTTGCAGTTCCTTCAATGAGGCCATCCCAAGAAGTCAATGCCTGAAGAAAATGAGATGGAGCTCCTTAAGCCATTCCATGCATATCCAGAAGCTGACCAAATTGGCACTTAAAACTGGCCTCAGTACTACAGCATCCCCAGTAGCAGGTCCAAGTGTTGGGGGGACATCTCTCCCTCTGTTTGTAATGGATGTCTGTCCCACTTCAGTTTGCGTCAGGGGATGCCATAGCCACCAGATGGCTTAGAGGAGGCACAGTATGCTGCCCAACACACTCTCCTTCAGCATCTCCCTGTTTTGCCCTTGTGACGGCCTCCCTCAAGACTCACAAAGGGAGGTCATCACATCACCTTAAAACCCTTCACTCTTCTTTACTGCCACCAACCATTCCTTAATAAATAAATCATACAGCAGGCCAGTATAACTTGTAGAAATAAAAACTTGGTTTATTGAATACAAAAAGAAGGGAATGGTAAATCACTTGTTAAAGGAATAAAAAATCAATCACTGTTTCTCAGGCACTAGCTATCACAGACTCTTTCTCACTGATACTAAGATCACTTTAACTCGCAGCTCAGACACTCATCTATCTGCTATCTCCTATCTCTGATCTATCTGACTCACTCACACCTCACACACACCTTATATAGCACAGCTCTTCCCGCCTCTGCACCACCCTCCGCCCTCTCATTGGCTGAGATTTTCCCTCGCAGCTGTGACGGACAGGTAATGCTATGGCTGACTGTAACAGCCCTGTTCCCCTTACAACAGCATCATAGACACTCACATACTGTAGTGTATTATTTGGGAAATTCTGACCCATAGAGGAAGGGTGTTTACAAACCACTGCCAGAACTCTCTCCTCCAGTGCAAGAATGACACGTGAATCACTTTTGCTTTTGTTCAGGTTTCTGCAATTTCCACAATACGTTTCTGCATAACATTAGAGTCTTTTCCCTTTGTGAAAGGAACCAGAGAGAGAGAGAGAGAGCACACAAGCACAGAAGGACTGACTGATTGATTGAAAGGATGTGAAAAATCCACCAGATCTTCAGATTCTTTGTGCAGCAATCCAGGATCTATTGTAATTTCATGCTATTTGCACGCACGCACGCACACACACACACACGCGAGTTCTTGCAATAGTGACAACTCTTATCAATACTGACAGGAAATACCTTGCTCTCTCACAAGGCAGTTTCATTACTGCTCTGCATGTAAAATCAGAGGGCCCTGCATGATATGGAATACAGAAAAAGCAAGGTTCTAATGCGAAAAGTCCTACTGTTGCCAAACACCAATACAGAGGATACTAAAGAGGGCCCTGCATGATAGGGAATACAGAAAAAGCTAGGTTCTAATGCAAAAAGTCCGACTGTTGCCAAACACCAATACAGAGGATACATAGTGCTTTGAGTTTCAATACAAAGAGAGCAAAAGTGGAGCCTTCATGAGGCCATTCTCCGTTCTTTCACTGTGCATTCCGGTAAGAACGTACAGGGGCTTTGGGGGTTCCAAGAATAGCAGGAGATTGCACCAAAAGCCTCTCCCATCCAGCGTTCTGTTGTTGCAGTGGCCAAACACATGTCTTTGAGACGTCCACAGCTAGAAGATCAGCGTAGACCCTTTCCACTTATTGGCATTCAGAAGTATACTGCCTCAGATACTGGAGGCAATGTATAGTTATCATGATGATGAGCACCAATTGAAAGCCATATCCTCCTTTTAGTCCACAGATAGAAGATCAGCGTAAACCCCTCCCACTCATGTTTTCCCACTTATTGGCATTCAGAGGTATACTGCTCAGATACTGGAGGCAATGCATAGTTATCATGATGATAAGCACCAATTGAAAGCCATATCCTCCTTTTGTAACACTGACATAAGAAATATATCCAGAGGGATATAGTGTTTAGTCTGCAGATTGTTAAAGCAAAAACAGCCAAAGACACATGTGACACACCCTAAAATACTATCTATCTATCTATCTATCTATCTATCTATCTATCTATCTATCTATCTATCTATCTATCTATCTATCTATCTATCTATCTATCTATCTATCTATCTATCTATCTATCTATCTATCTATTTGTCTGTCTATCTGTCAGTCAGTCAGTTAGTGAGTTAGATAGTTGTTTTTACGCCTCCATTCTCCTTTAAAGAACCCAAGGTGGCTTATGTACGTCATTAAAAGGACAATGTTTAAAAGCTAAAAACACTAAGTATACAAATATTTTAAAAATAATTAAACAAGTATCATTTTAAAAATGGGAAATAAAATCAATACTAAAAACACATTTAAAAGCAACAGAGCACAACTGTCCAATTTGGGAAAACCCTCACAGACTGCCAGTCGCTATCTTTAGCCTGTCAAAGGATAAAGGTCCTTGACTAGCAAGTTTGGCCTGGCATAAGCTTTGGTAGACTTCAGATTTATCACTTCAGTAAACAGCTTTCTGGAATAGTTCCATCTGAAGAACGAGCCACAGTCTTTGGGCCTTCATGTCAAATTAAGTCTATTAGTCTTCAGGTTGCCACAAGATTCTTTGTTGCTTTTGTTTCAATGTAGAAATATAATTTAATTTCTTTATTTCTACACATTGACTTTGTTTGCTTGTACAGTAACTTCCAAGGTTTCATTTTGTACATGCTTCTTCACCTAGCCTGTTGGAGGAGATGTGGGATGAGATTCATAAGGGATGGACTGGAAGTGTAAGCAATTTCAGCTGTATCAGATGGTTTCCAAGAAAGAATGAGTCTTGGCCATGCAACTTGACACAGTTTGAGATGCCAATGAGAAGACTTTTAGAATACACTAAGGAAGTAAAACAAAAAGTCATATTTTAATCACACAAGCATGCTTCAATTCTTCCAAGCATTTTATGATCTGGAAAAATCTCTCAAAACCAAAACATCTTATCTACTTGACAGAAACTCTCAAGTGTATGTCCTGAAATATGTAATTACATGTTGTTTTTCTTTTGTCTTTTTGTCAAAGAAAAATGTTTTGCAAGGAAAGCACGAGTCGGGCAAACTCTGGAGCAAAGAAGGGTTTTATGCTGTCATCATTTTTCTCAGCATCTTTGTTATCATCGTGACATGCCTGATGGTGAGTTTATATTTTTCTTTGATTGTGCTCATCTAACAGCAAAGCCTGTCTCCTTGTGCCAAATGGCATGTAAAGAAAATAGTCCAATATTTAAGTGTTGACAAAAGTACAACAAAATTATGTAAAGGCAGATTTGACATTAAGGTGTAAGGGTGCATCTGAAACAATTACGGCTTATGTGCAAGTGATTTGAAAAAAGGTACTCCTTAGACTTCTTTTCTTAAGGAATGTAAAATACATTGACCTTGATTCAGTCACACGTGGTTGCAGCTATTATTGCTGAGCATGTGGAGGCCTCTTCAGAAATCCATAACTGCACAGCTTGGCAAGCAGGAGGAGTAAACACCAGGGACTCAATCCATACTCTTATTAAATTGTAATTGGTATGTGTTCAGCTTTGGAGAAGTCTCCATGTGATGGTCGTGTGTGTATTTCGTATATGTCCTCTTTTATGGAAGCCAGTGATCAATTTTCAAAGGCTTCCAGAAGACAGTCTTCTGGTTGAAGGTGTCTTCAGCATGAAGGACTATCCAGTCCAAGTCTGTTTCAAAGGTAAAGAACCGCAGGGGTGGGGTGGGTGGTGGGTTGGTGGGAAACGACAGCAAAGGCCTTGATGTTCTCCATCCAGTATGGACGATTCCTGGTCAATAAACGCATCAGTCTCACTGTTTACCTGGTCATTGTCTTCTCTTGTTGAATGAGATGAATCTTACTGCGTTTACTATTATGATGCTTTCTGTTTCTGTCAATAGTTCTTTGTGTCCACTTTAATATCTGGTTTGCAAGATTAAATGAATTCTTTTCTCTGCTTTGAACAGGTTCTATACCGCCTGAAAGAGAAAATACAATTTTCTGTGAGGCAAGATAAGAACAAAAAACAGGATATACATCTTTCATCCCTTCCTCTGCAGAGAGCTCAGACAGAGCTCAAGACAACAAATGGAATGGTCCAACCTGAACAAGCACCTAAAGTTATCAATGTTGTGGTTGACCCTCAAGGACAATGTGCTCCAGAGAACAAACCCACTCTTTCTACCAGTCCATCTCCTTTCAAAATGAAACCAGTTGGGCTTCAAGAAAGGTACGGTGATAAGATATAATTTATATAACGTAATATAAGATATAATTTGTATGTCTTAAGTCAGGTATGTACTGTAGAACCTTCCCCCCCACTCCAGATGTTAATTACTAGCCTGCCATGATACCTCACCACTGGCTGTGCTGGCTATAGCTAATGAAAATTAGAATTCACCCATACAGTTCTCCAATCCTGTGTTATGATGTTCTAGGATGGGATGTGCTGAGGAATTCTTCTTTTAAGAAGAATTATCATCTTCCCCTTAAACTGTCAAGTTCTGAAATAATGCTGAGGACATCTTCAAATATTTCCCTATTAATTTTGTGTGCATTCAAAATGTTTGGAATTAGAAATGGGCATGAATCAAACTATGAACAGAAAATAATAATCGGATAATTTTTGCCCAGTAAAATTACATGAAATCCTCTGTAGTACAGGTTGAGGGGCATAGACTACACTGACATAGGTTCTTCTCTGCACTCACAAAGGACGGTGTTGGTGTGAAAACTCCATTTTCTTAGGTTCACCTTGGTTCTGCCAACTTTTGTCCGTCTCCTATGAAGTGACTTCCAAATAACACAGCTCTTTGTGTGACCAGGAACAGGATTTTCCAGCCGTCCCGTCCATTTTAAGAGGCAGACAGTTCTTTTCACATTATAGTCACAGCATTTTTTTCCAGTTCCTTCAATGGTCACCAGTGATCTGGAGGGGGCACTTTTGCCTTGATTTTAATATTTTCATATGACTATATTTAATATTTTAATATGATTCTCAGTGTGGTGTAGTGCATAGAGTGATGGACTAGGAGTCTAGAGAACAGGGTTCAAATCCCCACTTGGTCATGGAAACTCACTGGAGGAGTGGAACTGGCAAAACTACTCCTTCAATATCTCACTTACCTTGAAAGCCCTATTAGGCTCATTATGACATCAGTTCTGACTTATATGCTGTTGGAGTATTGCGTACAGTTCTGGTCGCCACACCTCAAAAAAGACATAGTGGAACTGGAAAAGGTGCAAAAGCGAGTGACTAAAATGGTGACTGGGCTGGGGCACTTCCCTTATGAGGAAAGACTACAGTGTTTGGGGCTCTTTAGTCTAGAGGAAAGGCGCTTGAGGGGGAGACATGATTGAGATGTATAAAGTTATACAGGGATGGATAAAGTGGTATCAGGAGACAGATATCTAGTTGTCTCCTGTGCTTCCAGAGGCATCTGGTGGGGCCACTGTGAGATACCAGAAGCTGGACTAGATGGGCCCTCGGCCTGATCCAGCAGGGCTCCTCTTAGGTTCTTATGTTCTTATGACCTGACAACACAGAACATGCAACACACGATATGAACAAAGCAGAAGAGTGGATGTGCAGTTGATGTGGAAGCTTTGAGTCTTTTTGTGTTAGCTGCTACCCCTCTCCATATGTCACTGAGTGCAGTGCCTACTAGGTAATTGCTTTTATCAATAAGGATTGGCTTTTACTGAGTGTGACATCCGCCTGTTTTGCAGAGGCTTAACTATACCATACCAGGCTAATATATTCACGTCCACAGGAGCATAAAGCTAAAGCTGTAATCTCCGTGTTTGCAGTTGTGTTCCCCCACTTGTTCCCAATAGTTTTCCACGAACATTGTTCATTGCAGAGACCTTTTGCAACAGTCTTTCTTCTAGGTCAGCATATAATGCTAAGTAACACCTTGATATTGGAGGTAGGGGACAACAGTGATCTGGCTGGATGCTCTTCCAGGTAACCTGAAATTTCCAAGATGTTTGTTTCTCAGAGGGAAGGCACACAGCTGAGTCTTGGTAGAATTGAATTTAAGCTGATTTCTGTCATAATGGGTACCTTGTTCTGCAGTATCTAATGCATCCATTAGAAGATGTTGGTGAGGGACAGTGACATCTAGAGGGGAAAGGAAGTATTGTCTGTGGAATTTCCCATTTTGGACAAAATACTGCAACTAGTTGCTCGTTTGGGAAGAAAGACTGCCTAGTACTCATTGTGTAAGAGACACACACACACAAAGAGAGGCAGAAACTACGTTGTTAGCCATTATAGGTTAAGTAATGGATTCAGCAATCCATTCTCATTTGTCATAAATATAAGACCATCTGCTTGGTGACTTGGAATTAGCTAGAATGGACCCTTCATACGTGTTCATTTCCACTCTCACTACTTTTAGGAAGGGTGTGAAGAAGGCATAAGTTTTTTTAACTGGCCTATGATATTGTGTAATTCGTTGCGATTATTTTAACTATCTGCAAACTTAACTGGTTTTTAATTGGTTTTAGTCATATTTATGTTTTATGACATTTAAAGGATTCTGTTATTGAATTTGTTGTTATTTATTGTTTTTATAATGTTTTGTGATCACCCAGTAGTGAAAAGGCACAATAGAAATGTAGATAATGATGACAACGACAACAATAATAATGTAATTTCCCTAACAATAATACCATAAACGAATAGTTAAGATTACCTCTTTGTGTTTTGCCATTGATATCTTTAATTTTAAATGTCAAATGTCCATTTTCATTACGGTTGGCAGGGTGAGGGATGGAAAGTTGCCACTATTTCCAGCTGAGACTTTGCAGGCTCTCACCCTAAGAGGCAGTGTGATATAGTTGCAAGAGCAGACGTGGGCACCTGTTCAAGTCCAGGAGCCTTTGGATGAGAGCACCCACAGCCCTTCACAATTGGCTATAATAGTAGGGTTATTGGGATTTTCAGCTAAAAAAATCTGGGGAGCAAATTTACACGTCTCTTTTGGGCTGGTATATGTTCAAGTCTAGAATGAGCTTTGCACCCACCCACCAGCAGAGCTCTTTACTACTGCCAACTAATTTGAGCAATGATAGGGAAGAGTGAGAGGAGAGTTTGAAAACAGTAGGCAGTGTTTCTGGTCAATAAGGGTTTTTGATGAATCAGTATAGAGACCTTGAGTGACTATATTGTTTTCAGTGTTCAGAACATTCTGCTTGGACATTATTTGTTGGTATTAATTTTTTAAAAAAATCAAAACATTTAAGTCACTGAATTAGCAGTATTCATCTGCTACATAGGCTATGAGTTCTGAAATAAACAGTGGGATTTGCAAAGTTTGTTCACCATTGAACCCAGTGGTACACTTGTCACTAACTTCTTCAGAAGGATATGTTAAATAAATCATGACACAGTGTAATATGTTGTGTGTTGTTGTTCATCTATTTACCTAATTTTCAGACCTGCTAAGGACCAGATGATTTTTATGATGTCCTGATACATAAAACCATAGAACCCAAAGATGGTGTACTTTCATTTTCAAATAATTTCAATGCTATATAGATATATAGATATTACAATTTAAATGCTATATTGCATGAGGTCATTGGAGACAAGTCTTGACATATTTCAAGCCTGTGAAACTGAAAGAGACTAGCTATTCTACAACATAAAAATCTTGTCTACCTGCTCCAATAGAAGTAAACACCCATGTGCCCTTCACCCATTTTAAATTAAACATCTGTAGCACATTACCATTGAAGTTATTAAGGAAAACAGAGAAAAGGGGCTTTCAGAGAAACTTTGTCTCCCTCTTCTGCATCCATTCTGGCACAGCTATTTCAGCTCAGAGCAAATGGTTTCCTAATACATGCACCTTCTTCGTGAAAAGACATTTAGTTGTTGAAAATAACTAGCTTCCAGTCTCCCATGGATAATTTGGTTTCAGTAATACTATTAGTAAATTGAAAAATTGTTTTATCATCGGAAGTAAACTGAATTAATGTCAATGAAAACAGTCTGACTCAAACGAAAAAATGAAGCTGGGATGATTTGTAAGGACCCACCCCAAAGCAGAGCCATTCATGTTCAAAACTGTTCTTCCAAGAAAGTAAGGTAGGTTTATTCTGTTGCAGTGTTTGACGCAACATAAATGAATTAGATGATCTCTATCATTCTTTCTGTGTGCAACTAGATAAGAACATATAGAGATGGGGCACACCATCCCATCCTCATCCTCCTGCATTTTTCAAAATGCAGGAAAATCAATCCTTTCAATCACCAGAGAGTCTTCAGGTGTAGAGGACACTCTTCTCCACATACCATTGCCAATCAAGTGTAGAGGGTGACAGAAGTAATGACGGAAAGAGTGGGCCCTGCATACATTTAGGCCACATGGTTCTTAAATACTTGAACAGAGCATATGTGGGACTTCTTTATAATTTATATCAGGACCAGAGGTTGGGATAGTTATTTTTGAAACTATAATTCCAAGATTTTTTCAGCCACCATGACTACGAGATTTCCAAGCTATGACAAGGACTGAAATGGCCAGCATTCACATGTGATGAGCAAGCAGCTTCTTCAAATTCTTCTGTGGGGTAAAATGAGGCGTTCAGTGGATTTTAATATCTTTTAGATACTTCTACTACCTTTTAGATACTTAGCAGTTCTTTCCAGAATTCCTTCCTTTCTAGTATTTAATTAATTGAGCAGAAACACTGGCATGAGTATTGCCACTTGTGCTATATATAATAGAATTATTATTAAACATTTCCTGCCTTTTTACTCCAGTATTCTGTTAAGAGCAATAACTTGACATTAAGCATTGTGTAGCTTTCTGTGAACTAAATAATGAAACTGAGCCAGTGTTTGTGGACAGCAACAGAAGCATGAGAACCTACTATATTTACAGGAAGAGATCTGGAATTTCCTGGCTGAAATATACAGCTCTGCATAGATTTGGAGGATAAATTTACTCTATTGTGTTGAGATGAATATGCTTGTTTGTGTGTATGTGCTTAATATAACCCTTCAGTGTGACTTTCCATGCTATGTCAACAAGAGTTGTTCAAAGTAGAGATGCACAGTGACCCCCCCAAAAAAGAGACTTTGTTTGAAAAAAGTTTTTCAAAAAGACTTGACACAACAGAAGGCATTTAACACAACCCCTTCTAAACTGGAAGTACACATGAGAGGTCCTGGAGGCATAACAGGTAGCTCTGTTTCTGGTGATGGCAGGTTTATTG